ATATTATATTAAAATACTGATACTATACATCTCAAAGTGTCACATAGTTAATTCTCCAGAAATATTGAAAACTTATAAGGAATGTGTTTATGTAAGTAGGTACCTAACTCAACAATTTTTCTTGTATAACCATAATTTCAGTAGGTATCTAAAATAATATTATATTATATAAACTTTAAATATATAATATCTTTTTTATAAGTTGAGAGGATAAAAAAATTACAACTACGAGTATAATGAGAAATCTTTAATTTCGTAATATTGTGGTATTTAATTTCATAAAAATATATATACATAATGCATATTTTTACTATTATAGATTTAACATGGATGCGACGTACAAAGAAAAAAAACAACCCAATCCTCGGTCGGAAGCTAATATTTTTGAGATTATTACATTTAGGTAAACATAGTAAACCATAATACATCTACCACTAATTGTAATTATTTCATCGATCCAAAAAAAAAACAAAGTTTAAAAATATTTGGTCCTCATTAATTGAATATATTAAACATACAAAAATGTGGGCATCAACTAGTTAAAAAGTTAGGCTATAAAGTTAATTTATGTTTAATTTTATTAACTAAATTTTTAATTAATTTTATAGTGAACTTATAAAAACCTAACTTTTGTATGATTATCTGTTGAAATAACTTAGCTTTTTTTCAGTTGATATAAAAATAATACATTAAGGTAATATTATTAAATTTTACAAAAATCGTTTTGAACAAACTTACTTGCCCACCTTTTTACTTACGTATTTTCCACTAATGTAGGTACAATAGGCAGATTAATTGACAAAGATTAGATAATATATTATTATTTGAAAAAAAATTATCATTAAGTTTACTATCTTAATCATTACTAGATATAGTTACGTATATGGTGACTTCGATAGTAATAAACTAATAAAATATGTTACTTTCTTAAGTTGGATTTTAGAAATTGTCAAAAAAGGATTAAAACAAGATTTAGATATAATCGATTTATATAAGATTTTGAATGAAGATTCGTCTGAGTTATTGGGAAACAAATTACACAAGTATTTAATCTATTCTTTGTGTAAATGAAAATATACACTTCATATTGTGTACCTATGTATTCTTTCTATTTTAGACTATGGAATGAAGAATTAATAAACTCAAAGAAAAGAAATCAAAAGCCAAGCTTTTATACTACTCTATTTAAAATGTTTGGACGAAGATTTATGTTTTGTGGAATTTATATAACTATAATGGAAATTATTTTAAGGTAAAATTAAAATCATAATTTTAAATTTATTCATTGCATCAAAATCACAAAAATAAATTTATTTTAATTTTGAACTCTAATTTTGATATTTGACATACAATAATTTTCAATTTTTTTATTTTAAAAAACAGCATAAGCATTTCAACCATTGTTGGAAAAACTGTTGAGCATTTTGAAATGAATTCATCAGTTGGCTATGTCGGAATATATTTATCAATTTGTCTAGTCATAATTTTATTAATAAGGATAATTATTTTTTCTGGTTACGATATGATAAGTTCACATCTAGCTATGAAAATGCGAATAGCAACATCCAATATCATTTACAGGAAGGTATACTACCCATAGTTTGTATTTCTCCTGTTATATTTTAGATATTTTATTACGAATAACAATGTTCGATAATCTAACACGTTATTTAAGGCGCTTCGACTCAAAGTGAATTCTTTGAACCAAACCTCTACCGGCCAAATATTAAACTTAATGTCGAACGACGTAAATCGATTTGACAAATCACTTATATATATACCTTTTTTATGGATTGGTCCTTTAGAAACGGTTGTAGTGACTTATTATTTATGGCAAGAAGTCAGAGTATCATCATTACTTGGTGTAGTCACATTAATAATGTTTATACCATTACAATGTCAGTGAATAATATACAAATAATAATAATAATCATAATCATAAAGATAAATATTTATAAACTATTATTTTAATTGGTCTTTAAGTATGGTTGGGGTCGAAAACATCTGAGATTCGATTAAAAATTTCCAAAAGAACGGACGAAAGAGTTAATCTACTGAATGAAATAATTTTGGGATTACAAGTGATAAAAATGTACACATGGGAACCATTTTTTAACAATCGAACAAAATATTCTAGAAAGTAAGAAATTATTAAAAATAAAATAAATCTGTAGGTATCAATTTAAATGGAAATAACATTATTGTGTGATACCTATTACAGAAAAGAAATGATCAAAATTAAAAAATCATCTTATATCAAAGGAATTTTGTCCTCGTTTTTTTTATTTAACACGAGAATCGCATTATTTGTGACTTTATTTTCATACATATTATTTGGAAATTATATAACCGCATCAAAAGTAATGTATTTTAATATTTTATTAAATTTGTATTATACTTTAATTATTTTCATAATTGGTTTTAGGTATTTGTAATAACTTCGTATTATAACATTTTGCGAAGAGCATTGACAACAACTTTTCCACCGGGCATTGGTTTAACTGCTGAATTATTAGTCTCAATTAAAAGGATCGAGGTGTGCATAATATTTTAATATTTTAATGAAGATAATCGAATGGGAATTTTTTAGGATTTTCTATTGAACGAAGAAAAAGATACACAATGCAACAACCTTATAGAAGCTAAAGATGTTCATGAAAATACTATTATTAATGACAATAGAAAATGGTCATGTAAAATCACTAATGTCAGTGACGATGAAGAGTTTAATAAATTTGGAGTAGCATTTTTTAATGTTACTGCCAAGTGGACAGTCACTCAAACTAATAACACTTTAGAAAATATAAACATAACCGCAACACCTAATCGATTACTTGCAATAATTGGTCCAGTAGGATCTGGAAAAGTATGGTTTAATGTATAACAATGAATTCAAACGATCTATATATTTTTCAATACATATTTTTCATAGAGTTCAATAATACAAGCAATTTTACAAGAATTGCCACTTATGAAAGGAAGTATTTCTGTACGAGGCGTTGTGTCATACGCATCACAAGAACCATGGTTATTTCCAGGTTCTGTTAGACAAAATATTTTATTTGGATCACCAATGGACAATGAACGTTATAAAAATGTAAATTAATTTTATATTTGTATGACTGTTGTTCTACCGATTTAAATAATCAAATGCAAAAAAAATAATTTAACATTACATTATCTCATTTGAAACAGGTTCTACAAGTTTGTGCGTTAAATCCAGACTTGGATAAGTTTCCACACGGCGATAGAACAGTAGTTGGTGAGAAAGGAATTTCTCTTAGCGGTGGTCAAAAATCAAGAGTAAATTTAGCAAGGTATGACAATTGTAAACAAATGTTTACTATAATATAATATCTAACCATGGTGTATGGAAAAAATATTTAATTCGTGCAATCATAAAAGTTAAGTTAAGAGGATAATAAATGGATAGCAGCAATTGTTTTCTGTTCCTTCTAACCACGATTAAATCCATTTTCTCGATGCCGGTTTAACGGTCGTCTCTCAGTTGAATTAATATTAATAAATCGAAATATTCTTTATCAGAGCTATATACAAACAAGCCGATATTTATTTATTGGATGATCCTCTATCAGCGGTTGATACTCGTGTTGGAAAGCATATATTTGAAAAATGCATAACTGGTAATGTTTATCTTAGGATATTCAAATTGCATTTTAAAATTATATGATACTCATTCTTCTATTTTTTTTTATTTTATAGATTATCTTAAAGAAAAGACCTGTATACTCATAACTCATCAGATACAATACTTATTTAACGTTGATCACATTATTATAATGGAGAACGTAATAATTATACTATAAACAAGACTTAACATTTGTGTATTACACATATGTATTTAACAACTAACTGATTTTTTTTTTTTTTTACTAGGCAAAAGTGTTAGCAGAGGGTTCATATCAAGAACTTCAAGAATCATCAAGTTTATGCTTTACGAAAATTCCCGGATATTCCACAGAAACGCCAATTTTAAATACCAATGATGAAAATGTGTTTGGAAAAAACAATACCAATAACGTGGTAAAATATTCTATGCATGATAGTCCACATACATCGATTTTAAATCATGTCACATCGTCTGTCAAAGAAATCAAAACAATTGACGTAAACCACACCGGGCCCGTCGAAATGGTAGAAACACATTCTACTGGAAATGTGGCGTTTAGTGTTTATCTTTCATATATTTTTGCGGGTGGACATTATTGCAAAGTATTAAGTTTATTTTCGGTATGTATACTCACGCAAGTGCTATCGTCGAGTGCAGACTACTGGATAACTCATTGGTAACTTACTTTTAAAACATTAATTAGTTTAATTAGTTAAATAATAATAATTAAAAACATTTGGCTATCGTCTAGGATTTATTTGGAAGAAAAAGTTTTTCGAACTAACAAATCCTTGATTTTGGACAGTACATCCGTACCAAATTCATCTGATGAATTTTCGACATTGTGGACTGCATCAAGACAAACATGTGTTATTGTTTTCGCTGTGCTAACATTCTTGATCATAATATCTGCTTTAGTTCAATCCACTTTACTGGTGTCCTTATGCACTAAAGCGTCCATGAATCTACATAACTGTATGTTTATTTCAATTACACGATCAACAATGGGTTTTTTAAATAAAACTCCATCGGGTAATATAACTCAATTATTTTCTAACTTTAAAATTGAATTTCATTACAACAATTTAATATCAGGGCGAATCCTCAACCGGTTTTCAAAAGATATAGGACTCATTGACGAAATGTTACCTTCCGTGTTAATTGATTGTATACAAGTAAGCATACCTACTCCTTTCATATTAAGACATTATTACCTATTTTATATGCACAGTTTATGTGTGTGTATATGTACTTATGAATTTTATTAGATTGGATCGACGGCATTTGGAATAGTAACATTAGTGGGAATTGTCAATCCTTATCTGGCTTTACCAACATTTGTCTTACTAATATTATTTTTAAAAATGAGAAAAATTTTTATGACAACAACTCGTAATGTCAAACGGCTAGAAGGTGTTAGTGAGTACCTATTAAATTAATTGTATTATAATTTATATAATAATATAATATTAATTATATTTAATTATTAATTTTTGATTGTTTAAATGTATTTAATATTAAATTAGCACGAAGTCCTGTATACACTCACGTGAATTCATCACTTCAAGGACTGGCAACAATAAGAGCGTTTAATGTTGAACAAATTCTAATCCAAGAGTTTACCAGCCATCAAGTGAGTGGATGAATTTAACTAAATTGATCAGCAAATACTTTTATTAATAGTATGCTGCAGATAATATTCAATAATGTTTCCAGGATTTACATTCATCAGCTTGGTATATGTTTATCACTTTAAGTCGAGCGTTTGGTTTTTGGTTGAATATATCTTGCATGTTCTACATAAGTTTTATAATATTTTCTTTTATATTGTTTAGTGATGGTAAATATATATGATTCAAATATTAAATTAGTATATTATTACATTTGATAACGATAATTTTTTGAAATATTACTCCTGTCTTATAACATGAATTTCAGTTACAAATAGGAGGTATGTTGGTTTAGCCATAACACAATCCATTGTATTGTCCACTATGTTCCAATGGATAATGAGACATTCTGCAGACTTAGAAAACCAAATGACGTCAGTAGAAAGAGTTCTAGAATACATAGATATTCCACAGGAATCGGCACTTGAAAAAAAACCTGGTAAGAACTGTTTAACTATACCATATACCAATATACAATTTTTATACAATACATCTACCACTGTAGCTACTGGTGACAAAAAACTAAATAAATTTGTTTTTAAAATTCATAAAAAGTAATAATTTATCTTTTAGAGAAGTTGTCACCAGCTGACTGGCCCAGCACAGGTCAAATTATTTTCAAACAACTTTATCTACGTTATGACTTGGACACACCATTTGTTTTAAAAAATCTCAATATCAACATTGAAGCTGCGGAAAAAGTAATATTATTATTAGTTTAGTACTTTTACAGTGAATAATTTCACACATAATTATATAGCTATTTGGCTAATAGTTGGACTATAAATATTGTTTTTATTCAGTTTTATCAGATCATTTTATACATAATAAACTAAATAAACTATAAAGTAGGCGTGAATTTATTTACTTATAAGTTATAAGTATAGTCTAGATTCTGTTTTAACACCTAAATTAATATGATGCTAATACTCACCAAATAATATGCAAATATTTTCTACTTATATTCTTTTAAAAATTATAAAATTATACAAAAATAATCAATAAGACTACGTAGGTACAATAAATACGTATATTAATAATATTTATAATTTAATTGTATTTAATAGGTACGCTCAACAATATTATTCACAAATGATAATATAATGTATAGAAATACTCTTTAATAAATGTTAAGACTTGTGGAACTGAACTCTAAATTAGCCATGTACCTAATTACCGAATGCCTCCAATACGCAGATGAACAAAGAAATTTCGAAATACCCAACACACTATATGTAGATGCAGCCCTCGAACCCGACGCAACTACCATCACACAAATCCTTAAATTCCTAAGCAAAACAACTCTGTATAATAAATTTAAATCTAAAAAAAAAAAATGTATTTATAAATAACTGTAACTAATGGCCTTTGTCACCGATGTTTATAAGAACAATAAAAAACAAAAATGTTTAGAAGTACGTAATAATGAAGCTTTTTAAATATTTTATACAAATATAACTTACTCGCCGAATTAAGTAACAATAATTTTTCAAACTAGCTTTAAATGTATAGCTTAGTTATTTTTAGAACTTATAAAATCGCTATGCATAATTGAAAACAAAAATCTAAAAATGCATATCATCTAGGTCCTTCGAATTAGCTATCAAAATAATATCTACATTGTACAATTATACGTATTATTATTTTATGTCTTTCAATTGTTATTTAGGCAAATAATTTGCAAATTGCAAATCAGAAATTAATTTGTTTGTTTTAATTTGATATTCATTATTTGATAGAACTTAAATACCCATATAACATGATGATAAATTGATAAACTATAAGATAGGTAGGTTGGTAGGTATATTAAGAGGTTGTCACACCTGCATATATTGTTCTCGTCTTACACATGTATAACATACCAAGTTATTATTCACCAGTTTCAATAGTATGTTGTTAGTTTGTATTTGATATTATAGAGTGAATTGGCCTATTATAAAATTTAGAGGAAAGATCATTATCTAAAGCCCCCCTTAGGCTTTTATTTCTACTTTTTTTTTTTAAGTAAATTAATATAATTTTAAAATGTACAGCAACACACTATAAAAAATTGCACTCCAAAACAAATAATCATCCAAGCCCGCTAATTTCTAACGTCTCCTCCAAGACTCTCCCGGATAACCCTCCCCGTCGACTAAAACGTAATTGGCCTCGTGATTTACTTCGCTAAATAATAAAAA